AAAATTGAACATGAAGTTAGATATGCCATGAGCGTCTAGAGATTTCTTTTTACGTTTTGCCTGCACTGTGAATACTAATTCATCTAATGTTACTTCAGGAATCGATTCATCAACATTGTCATATTCAATAGGTGGAGAATCAGTATATGGATGAGGTTTCACTATATTAGATTTTTTAAAAAAGTTTTCATAAAAATCTGCAGCGACTTCGCACATTTCTTTAGTATTTTTAATAATATGGCCTGATGGTGCAATAAAAGCATGTACGGTAGAGGATGGAGAGCAGCCAGTTTGACTAGCATTTCGTATGTTCACATTTTACGCTGATCTTTGAAGCTGTAGACAAAATATGTGGAATAGATAATTGATCACATGCATTAATGAACAATTCTATCTCCTCCCAATACAATAGGCACTGATTGACCAGCGGCACTAAATGTAAAGCTATCTGTCGACGAGTAAAAGCTACCGTTAATGTACAGCCGAACACCGTTGGTACTACTGTAAGTATAACCAATATGTGTCCAGGTGTTTAATGGTACAATAGGACCAGTTAAAGATACACCTCCACCACTCCAACTATTTGCATACAACCTTCCAGTCGACTGCATGATTATATTTTAGCATTGTTTGTACATATCGTTAAGTAAAGAGTATCGACAATCTATTCATTACTGTCTTCTTCGTAACAGATACACTTTGATAATAATAAAAGAATGTGAAAGAAAGAGAATCTTTTTTTTTGTTACAAAATAAGTGTTAGAAAAAAGATATGAAATGTGTGTGTGGTCTCTTTATCTTCGCTGATATTTTCCTTCTTTTCTCTTTGCATATATTATTCTTTTGGTTATTCTCATTTCTCTCAGTTTGTTGTTTTTCTAGCTTCTGCTTTTTTCTTACTGAGTTTACTTTGACATAGATTATTTATTCAGTAATCTTTGAATACAAAAACAACGAAAATATTCGTTCATGTTTTCTAAACGGATTTTATTGCTCATACTTGTCGTTTCGATAGTCTACTCTGTATCCGTAGTTGAATCTATACATGAACAACCTTCTGTTCGATTGATGAATGCTGCTCATGGTGAGGTTCTTATGCCTGTCGTAGGACTTGGTACAGGAGGATACGGTCTACCTAATGGTACAGGTGGGGAATATTGGGGTCCTGAACAAGGTCATAATGCTACAGTTGCATGGCTAAAGTTAGGTGGTCGACGTATTGACACAGCTGATAACTATGAGTCATGCGATGGAGTCGGTACAGGATGGGTGGCTAGTGGTATACCTCGTTCACAAATATTTATCACATCCAAAGTAAATCCATCAGGCTATGATCAAGTCCTGGAAGAATTTGCTGGAATTCTAAAATCATTAAAGACCGATTATATTGATCTTCTCCTTATTCATTGGCCGGGCATTGAACCAGGCACGTCCAATGGTAAATCAATTTCTTCGTGTGTACAGGGAAAATCAACTTGGGTTGACTGTCGTATTGCAGCATGGAAAGCATTAGAAGAATTATTTGATCAGCAACGTGTAAGAAAGATAGAAAATTCGATTAATTATTCATCTTAAATATTAATGTTTTAACAGTTTTAATATATTTTCTTTCCCTCTGTCTCTCGTTTAGGTTCGTGCAATAGGTGTGAGTAATTATGAAGTAAATCATTTATTAGAAATTTTTAATTTAAATTCTTCTATTCCAAGTGTCAATCAAGTATATTCATACGATTAAATATTTTCCTTATTCTCATTATTTTTAAACAGGTTGAATTTCATCCATATTGGCATGAAGATGAACTTCTCGATTTCTGTAAGAAACATAATATAACATTTAACAGTTATTCTCCAGGTGGTACACCTGATTACGCAATTTGGCTTGGTCCTTCATGGAATCCTATTCCAGATATGCGTACTCATCCAAATGTAACTAAAATCGCACAAAAGCATGCTAAGACGCCTGCACAAATTTTATATCGATGGCATTGGGAACAAGGCATTGTTATTAATCCTCGTACTCGAAATTCAACACATATGATGGAAAATCTCTCGATATTCGATTTTCAACTTGATATACAAGATATGATGACTTTGGCTTATTTGAATCATCCAATGAGTAAAGTTTGTGGTGATCCAAGATTAATTTTGTAAAAAAAAAAAAAAAAAAAACGATGATTGATATAATATATCCACAATTTGAACAAAACTATACGTTATCATACGTCTATTAATTATCAAGTTTTCCTTGGTATTACTTAGTATTACTTTTGACGTGAATTATGTTCTCTTTGTAAAATAAAAAAAAGATTAATTTTAATTAACGAATAACTGAAAATATTCTGATTAATTTTTACTTTTTATTATATTTGTTTAGAAAATTCTTTCAATAACTGAAAATAAGTAAGTCCTACCCGTTTTTTTTTGAAGAACTTTTCACAAAGATTTCGACAATTTTTTTTATCTTTGATGATCTTTTATTATCAAATAACCATCTTCTCTATTTGAAATATGTCTTAATTTAATATCTAACAGTGTGGATTTAGTTGAAGAGAAGACCTACATCCATCCTTGCTTATTCATCATCCTCTAACAAATGCCGATGTACATCGATTTTTCTTTCGACTTGGTTTAACAATATTAGATATTAATGATCGAATTAAAATCATTATTATCACTGATTTGCCGAAGAAAAACAATGGACAATTAATAATTGAATTTCAACATGTTCAGCGACAAAAATGTGAGATATATGTAATATAGGTTCAGATCGGAAGATTATTGCTATGAATTGTGACGAGAAGAAAGATGTACTTGTTCTAGCTGTTTATTGTATTAAGAAGAATAGAAAATATGATCAACTTTTTTATTGTGATGACTTAATGAAGGATGAATTCGAGCGAAGTGAATATGTCGGTCGATGTTTAATAAAATTCAATGAAAAATCAAGGATAAACAATTAGGTATTGATCGATGAACACTGAATAGTAGATGTCAATGAGGTCGATCACATAAATTCTATTATCGAGAAGGTTTTCCGATTCAATGTGAAAAACTTGATTTCAATTCTTTTATAAAGATAAGAAATGCACTAGTTAAATCCGTATTTCAGTAAACTGATCATTATTATGATTAAAAAAAAAAAAGGAACGTAGACAAAATATTGAAGCAAGCAAATTAGATTTCAATGTTAACAGAAACTTCACATAAGCATAAGCTAGCTATTCAGTTTTTAATTTTTCTACTTTCATTTGAAGTAGTTGAACTCGTTCTTTGAATAATGATATCTTTTTCCAAATGACGATGGCCTTCTCAAGTGATTGACAAGCATCATCTGTACATTCGTCTTTCTCTTTATATTCCGACATCTTCTCATAGCTTTGTGCCAAGAAAATTATATTATCATAAAGATCATTATTCATTTCTTGTACTGTACAATAAATTTCTTCAAATGTTGAATCTGTAGAATATAGACGAGTGACAATAGAATTCGATAATGTTTCATTGTAGAGCGCTTGCATTTCAGTCCAATACCAACAAGCAAGAGCATTCTGATCAAATTTGATCAACATTTGACCAATGCCATCAGTTTTTTTCAAAGTGATATTTGTCCAGACTTCATTCTGTAAATTGAATAATTCTTTCTTGAATTGACTAGTACCTTGATCATCTTCCATCTCAATCATGTAAGAGATAATTAATCGACAGAGAATAATTCGATCGAAGATGGGAATAGACGATGAACGAATATCAACAGTCTTGATATTTGGACGATACTCTTCATCTGCTACTACATATGATTCTAATAATTTTAATATACCATAATTAATGGCACATTTTAGTGTCTCTTGTTTGTGAATATTATCTTGAAGAAGACGATAAATATGTAATGCTTTCGTCCAATCTTGATTGGAAAGGTAATATTGTCCTATTTTCATAAACATACTGATTGATTCAGCTGGAGGGATTAAATCTGCGAGCTGATTCCAATGAAGATCATCTGATAGTTCATTTTTAAATATCAAATTGAACAGTGTAATAAGATTATTTGGAACCTCGTACAATCTTTGACAGATGTCAAGCACGGCCGACATTGATTCAGACACTTGATCGAACGAATCAGTCATTCGTACTGCTATGGTGAAGGTTTTCATGTAAGTTTGTAACAAATTGATTTGAATATTTTTATCAGGAATTTCTGTCGAATTCGACAATGAATGGATGATCTCTGTAAGAAAAGAATAAAATAGTTTAATCATTGGTAATTGTTCGGATTGAAAATCAGTTTGAGACCATGTAGCTGTTGACGTTTCTTTTAATTTTGAAATGTGTCGTTTGAAATATTTCAATGCCATTCTATCATCATTTAAATCTAGATAAGCTTGGGCAATTTCTTCAGATTTTTCCTTCTCATTGAGTGATTTCGTCGACAAACGACGTTGAGATTTTGCAGATTGAACATGTGGTTCAGTTGCATCTTGTTCTTCTTTCTCTTCTTCTTCGTCTTCATCATCATCATCATCATCATCACGATCACTATTGTCTTCCAAACTGGATAAATTCACTTTATTCTTTTCAATTAATTTTTCAATTACTGTCTTAATTGTCGTTTCGTCATGTTTCACTTTTTCCAACGCACTTTTCCAATATCGATCTGCTTCGGTGAAATTCTCTTCATCAAAATAGAGATTTCCAAGACGAAATTCAATCGATCGTTGACGATCTGAATTTGTTGTTTCTTCAAGTGCTTTAATCAGATTATCACGTGTTGTTTCCTTCATACTCGAATAGAGTTTATTATAGGCATTGCCCAATTCTTCATACCAATATGTGAGATCTTGTTCACCATTGTTTTCGAATAGTGTCAATTTCAATTGAAGTTCAATCATTTGTTCATATAAATCAGTTGCATCTTCGTCATCATCTGTACTTTCTTCCGCTTGTAATAGAGCTCGAGCGAGACAGAGACGAATAAATACGAAATTTCGTAGGACTTGAGCAAATGTACTACCATTGGCTAAGCCAAGACGACTTTTTATTACTATTTGTAATTGTTCAAATGTTATACTCGTTGCTTCTTCGTCTTCGACTAATTCAATAATAAATGTTGGAAGAATTTCTTTTAATGTATCGATTCTTGTTTGTTGATGGTTACTTGCTGTGGTAAAATCTTTCTGTTGAACTAAGACGTCGGACAGATAAGAATACATTCGAAGTAATGCTTTCACATCTCGTTCTATTTCTTTCTCATCATCGTTCTCATTTTCATTCTGTGCTTGAGCTCGATCATAGAATTCCGTTGCCAATTCAAGTTTATCCATTCGACAGTAACAATCTCCCATGAGAAAATAATTCCCACGAATATTAGGATGACTAGTTGGCATATTATCCATTTGAATTTCAATCGCTTTTTCATAGTATTGTACAGCATTTTTGTAATCTCCCTGTTGAAAATTGCATGAAGCTACTAATTGATAATTACGTATGAGACTCGGATGATACGATGAATAGAGACGTTGTTTTAATTCAAACGAAGTTTGAGAACATTCAAGAGCTGATTTATAGTTGTCTTTAACTAAATAGCTTTCTGCTAGGTAATCATTGATAATCATACGTAGACGTATCGCTTCATTATCTACTACATTTTTTCTTAAGGAATTCTCAATTCGTAGTAATTCTGCTATACATTCTTCAGTGGATGTAACCTTTTTTGCTGTTAATATACGTAAAAGTAATGCGGTTAATAGCGTTGTATCAGGTTTTTCTAGTTCTAGAATTCGTTTATAGACAACCATACTTCCTTTCAAATTGCGTTGAGAAACACAGACATTTGCAAGAAGAAACGAACTTTGTCCTCGAAGAATCTCGATGACTTTGTCATAGCCATGCATTTTGGCGTAAAGAATAGCGAGATATTCTTTGGGTGCATCGTTGTTGGATAAATAATATTCCAGTGCCACACGATAGGCACTTTCGACTAATCGAATCGATCGTTGAATTTTCGATACACGAGCTGATGATAAAAGCTCATCAAAAAAGGCTTTTTGTTCGTGTTCAAGACTTTTCTTCCAATTTTCCATCGCCTTATTGTATTCTTTTTGATGAGCAAAACAAGCACCAATATTCGCATAGAGATTGGCAAGATCCAATTGACTGGTAGTATATTTGTTCTCGTAATCTTTTAATAATGAGCGAAAATGTTCATCTTGATAGTGAATTACTGCTTGATAGTTTTTATTTCGAGTGTATTCACAAACAATATCAATATGAGCTTCAGCCACTTTGGGATGAGATAATGGTAGGATACATTCGTAGATAGTCAGAGCTTCGTTGAATTTTTCAGTTGCTTCCGTTGAATCTTTAGGATTTTTAACGCTTTTCAAATGCCCAAACGCAATGCATAGATCGGCTTTTAATAAGCGTTTTTCGAGAGCATCATGTGAAATTTTCGAGCTTTGATTGTATAAATCATAAGCTAATTTGAAATGACTTTCTGCTTCATCCCAATCATGTTGAGCATAGGCAACTTGACCTAAATTACAATAGAGCGAAGCCAAATGTTGTTGAGAATGTTTTGGTTCACGTTTTTGAATACGAATTCCTTCTTCAAGATTTTGTTTTGCTTCTTCTAATTGATTCAATCCTACATGAGTTTGTCCAATATTATTGAAAATCTCCGCTAGAGCATTATTATTCGAGAACTGTAAACGTGCTTGAGTATTCAATGCTTTTCGATAATATTCTAACGCTTCACCATACAATGCTTGACGGGAATGAATTGTACCAAGACAATTGTATACCGCGACGAGATTAGGATCATTTTCTAACTGTTTACTTTCGACAAGTTGATTCAAATAACGTTTGCATACTCGATCTTCACCTAGTTCGATCAGATAACGAATGAGTAAAATACTCAAAGTTGCTTGTGATGCTTGTTTGACTTTGGCTTTCATTTCATCGAGTAAAGTCAGATTGAAATCTCGTGCTGTTAATTTGATACGTTTGATTTCTGGATTAGTTGAATCATCACCAATACTATCGATTTGAAAAGTCGAACCCATATTGAAGAGAACTTCTTCTTCTCGAGGATGAAATGAAATCGATTGAATATCAGCATAAGCTGAACAAGGTATGACTGGATCGATGGTAATTTCATACATAATGACAATATCATTACTTCCTTTCTTTTTTAATTTATTCGTTGCATATTCTAAACTGATTTTTTCATTTCGAGATGTTGAAATAAATCCATTAATAGTAATTCGAGCATCCTTTTCTGTTGTTGACTGTTTAATGATTTCAAAATCTGTAACACTTAATTTATCTGCTCGATAGACGATCTGTTTTTGCAATACTCGATTTTGCAGATAAGATCGTTCAATCATTTGACATAAATCACTTATATAGTAGCGATGACACATCAGAAGTTCGAAATTTTCCAAACGTAAAATATTATTCATTTGATCAAAGATTGGAGCTTCGTTACATGAATACCACCAAATGGCATTATCAAAATTAGGAACTTCGCCATTCGAAAGTTCTGGCTGTGTTAATGTCTGAACCTAAACATATGATAGTTTAATTTCAAATATATGCATATTTCACCCTTAAAAATTTCCTCTGATGAGCAGACGCAATACATTGGTTTCGAAAAAGCTCACTTGAAAAACTTGCCAAATAGATATGTCATAGACGATTTGATCGATGTTTATCTTCTCGATCATGTATTCGAGCTAGAAGAGAGTTTTAAATCAGGTACTACTCACTTTAACTGTTTTCTCGCCAGAATCAGTTTCCTTTCGAAAATAGGACATTCGAAATGTTTCACCATATAATCGCTTATTTTTCCATCGATCTAATTTATCTTGCTCCGATTTACTCTAGAAAGCAAAAATAATAATGCCCTTAATCAGTACTGAACAATTTTTCTTAGCATACTAAATTAATGCCGCCAATTTTCGGACGTTCACTTTCTAAGTATTGTTCACATGTTTGAATCATATCGTTTCGAGCAAGTTCCATATCAAAACGTGTAAATGCATCGTTTTGTTTTCCCATAACGAGAAAAATTTCTTTGATTCGACGAAACCATAAATACGAACAGAGAGCTTGGGATAAATCTTTCACTGAGTTTTTTTTTGCCTGAAATACTTTGGTTGGTAAGACGAGATCGGTTTCGTCATGGATAGAATTATTTATTGTTAATGACATATTCTTCGAAGGTACGACAGCAACAGGCTTCGTATTTTGATGACTATTTATAGCTGGTAAAGGTGTTTTTGCTCGTTGGGATATTGAGGGATTAAATGAATTAGATATACTGGTCTGTAGTGGTTTTCGCGGTTCGAAATTTTCCTGCAGATTGGATCCTTCTCTTGACATAGTCTTATTTTACTTCAGATCTTCCTCATCATATTGAAGAGAATCAACTTTTTTAGTTGACACCTAACGGTAATGGAGAGAAGCACAACTAATGAATGAAAAAAAAAAGTAAAATATACTTTTTCTTTCTACTTGCTTCTCGGTGAACAAGAGAACGAGATGAAGAATTGCTCTGCTCGGAGTAATTCTTCGATAAGAAAGAAAAAGACGGCTTGAATAATCAAGAAAGTGACAGCAGATGACAACGTTACCAGTAAAAAAGATGAAGTAATATAAAAAACCGTCCTTGGTTACGTAGAAAAGAAAAAAGAAGTTGTTTTGAATGAAGAAAAGAAATAGCAAATGTGAACTTCTCGTTTGTTTTCAATCTACTCAGTAAGATTCAGTCAAATGTAACTGGTTATGGATTGTCTCTCTGATGAAACTCTATTCTATAGTCAAACAGTTAATATTCGATATCAACCTTTGTCAGGAACAACATTTCCTGCAAGTAGTACAATTTTCAGACTGCTTCTTCAAAGATGTATTGCTGCACTATAAAACAATCAAATTTCTCTTCTGGGAAAAACCAATAGAATTTATCTGAGCTATACTTCACTTTTCAGCTAGTATGAATGACCAGTAAACCACCTGTCCAAACGCATGAAAATCTCAGAATCTCGACTATTCTTAAGCTGAAATCTGGATGAAGTTTGAGAATCCTTATGAGCTAATAAGATGCGATAACGAAAAGCAGCATTTCTATGGCAGCTCATTAATTCTTCTACGAAGCCTGTGGGTTCTCATTAGACTTTCATCGCTGAGAATAGTTTGTCAATAAATCATCTATGAATTTCATCCTTTCTAGAAATAGTCAACAGTAATTATGAAAATGCAATCGTTGGTTTCAATTTGAGTTTGTGTAGAATTGATATATTTCATTTATAAATATTTCGATAGATTAGCAATAATCAGTAAAGACGAAGAAAAACGTCTTTCAACGCAATGAATCATCTGCTCTTTTTTTTTTGTATTATTACTCATCTTAGTAATGATGATGTATTCTTGTTTATTATTCAACATCCGATTAGTCAGTCAAAACATGTGATCAATGAAATCCGAGATTAGATCGTTGTAAATGTAGTGTTCAATACAGTATTGACGAGGGTGTGGATGGAGCGTGGGCGTAGATATGGGTAAAAAGTCAATTCATATCAGACCTACACCCACACCACAATTACGAAAATAAATGAGACACAATAGAAGACCATCCTGAAAACCTTTCATGAGTGGGTATAGTTGAAGACTTGGAATATACTTTTGTGAGAAGACATTTAACAAATTTCATTGAAAATAACAAAGTTTAATTCGATCGGGCTTAGATTCTGGCTCGAAAATTTTAAATCCAACAAGCTGTAGTTAGCATAGATTCGACATCTTTGTGCAGAGGAAGTCAGATCAAACACATATAGACTTCCTGGAACTTATTACCATATGTTGGTTGTTTTTGCACAGTACTTTCAACAGAGAAACCAGTCAAATTTTTTTTTGCTGTTTCATCTGCGAACAAATGCGTTAAGTGAGAGATTTATCAGTTGCCAAAATGTTAACAAAGAATAGAACAGTTAGCAGAACAACATTAGTCTCAGCTTTACTATTAATTGCACCGCCATAAATTTACATAAAGAATCAAGGGTGTAGGTCTTGTTCTACTCATAATGACACCGTACACTAATACTCATACCTTCTATTGATCAACGGACAAAATTACACAGACGAAGCTGAATGTCATCTATGGCCGTGTAATCATAGTCATACAGGAGGATGTACGTGCTTGTGAGTGATGTGAATGCGGTGTGACTATGCGTGACTCGAAGGAAAATATTGAAGTTCACACCCACACACCCTGACATATTTCATCAAATACAATAATGATTATACGATGCAAAAATATCTTGAAGAAATCTACACTTTTCAATGATGACTAATGGAAAAAAATCTTACATGATAAGGTTTTTTTTATTGGTTGTGTGCAATAATGATAAAGAAAGAGCGAGAAAGAAAAAAGAAAAACATGTTGAATTTCTCTACAGACGAGAGAAAAGTATCTCCATTGTTGTCAATAAATGCAAGACAAAAAAGTGTTTCTAAATTTATTTTTCATACAGTGGGTTTTTTACCTGAATAAAAAGAAAGCTTATTTAGGTAGTAATACACTATTATTTTTTTGTACGGTAAATCATAGTGCAAACAAATTCTTCGAGATTTATTTTCCAACATTCTATTTTAAATAAAATAATCTTGTTAATTGAATATGTAATTGATTTAGATACGTTGAAAGGATGGTCATAAATACTCAAAACATCGAACAAGAACTATTCTATTTGAATTCAAATAAAAATCGTCATCGATATCCTCCGTCGAAATATCCATTAACTCATTTACTTGATCGTCAAAGTATTGACCGACGTCTTTTAAAACAACCTAAATATGTTAAAAATTTCATATATTCATTTGCTTGTCTTACAACATTTATTTTAATTAGTATGATATTTTTCCAAGCGCCTACTTACGTTTATAATACATTCTGTGGTCCCTTTCATCTTAATTTAGAGGACTTTATTAAACATGTGAAGAGTTATAAAAATAATACATCATGGTTTTGGAGAAAAGAATATATTCAAATTGAATTAGGTGAACATAATATTCAAAATCAAGTTCCTAAATATGAAACTTTTCAACAATATTCTGATCTATACACACGTCGAAATCATATTGCAACATTTAAAAAGTTAAAAATACCTAAGATCTTTGTTAAGTTACCAAATATTAAGAAAGAATATGCTTGTGTGCAACTTCCATTTGATTTTTCATTATATTCACTTTCAACATTACAATGTATCGTTAAAAACCTTCCATTAAATTCAATGTTCACATATAAAACATGGGTGATCAAATCTGAATATGTTGATTATATAAATAAAAAATATTCAGAAAATCCTTCTAAATTTAATGTTGCAGTATTAACAAAATGCGGAATTTTAATAGGATATTTATATGAACCTGTTGATGAGATAGTGTTTATTGCAAACAAAGACTATAAATTGCATTCACTTGATTTAACTTTCGATGCAACACGTCAATACTACTCATCCTTTAAATTAGTGATTGGTGGATTAATGTTTATTTTGTTATTAATTATAAGTTTATTTAATTTGATAATTTATGTGTTAAACATGATTCGTTTTAAATTATTTAATAAATATGAATCATTATCGTTTCCTTTAGATTTACTTTCCAATGTATTAGAAGAACTTTGGTTATTAAATATTGATGACCCACCTCATGAACAATTATTGCAACTAGATGAATTAATTCGGCAAAGTCAACATAGATATAGCAATCAATTATGTATTATTAAAAATTATTCCGAACATTTATTTGTAATTATTTTAAGAGAAAATCCTTACCAAAGTTTCAGTGTTACTGATGGTTTGTCTCCATTTATTATTTGTCCTGTGACTGACATAAAAAAAATCACTGAAGATCAAGGTATTTGTTACGGTGAAGATTCATCTTGGATTCAATGGCCAACAATGCTACGACATAGGCAACATTTTTCACATTGGTTACATGAAGAGTTAATGCAAATAAGTGAAGATTACAAGAGAGAGTAAGTGATTCTTTTTTCGACTACGCTTATGTATGATAGCTTCTATATGTATAAAGCTATAGGACAAGTACTATTACTGATACTATGTGACAGAATGAAGAAAAGATGATCTTCGTAGGACTCTCACCTATACCTCCTGCTCTCCTGGTAGATGTCCTAAGTCAATTAGACGAGAAGGAATATCTTAATCATCATTTAACGTCAGAATATATCATCAGTGACGCTAATAATATCAACTAAACTTGACGAATGAAACAAATTTTCCTATTAATTTGTCTTTATCCTATGGCTATCCAAGAGAAGTTTATCAGCAAGTCAATTTTATTTACAATAGAATTCTGCGAAAAACTTTACTTTGCGAAAAATTTCAGTTAGATGTAGTCGATTAGTTTAATTTATGAAACATCTTCAATTAATAAAAAATTCTTTCAGAACATTTTACAGAATCTATTTTATCTACCGCTACCTAGATCTATATTCTTATTTTCGATACAAACCTCATACAGTTGATAGCCGATTGAACACTTAATCAATTGTTCGTTTTTTTTTGTAAAAAAATAATTTACTTGCAAACAATATAATCATTTGTAGTCATCTAAATTTTTGTTACTAGGAACAAATTTCGAGTTCAATAATTTTCAGTTTCGAAAAATAAATGCAAAATGTTTTATAGAGAAAACATGTACAAGATAATATTGAAGTTTAGGCAAAATTAAATATACTTTTTCAAATAGTTGATAATTAAAGAAATCGTAAAAGATAACAACAAAGCATTGATATTATATATATTTGTACTAAAATATGTTGAACTTTCATTGAAATTAAAGTAAATCTACCCAGTTTTAGAGTTCATCGGTGTTCTCGATTGAGATGTAGCTTGCTCTAGCAAGCGCCAACCAAATATGATATACGAAATATAATTATTTGATGCTTTTAAAAATTGTTGGGTTAATCTCCAAGCAAAAAAACTTCAGGAACTTTTGACTTGTGTACTCGTTTTAATAGAAGATTAGCTACTCTTCATTGAAGGTTGATAACATAAAAGGCTTATTAGAGAGCCGTGGTTTGTTATTCTGACAGAATGAATGGAAAGTAACTTAGTTTACTCTAAAAATTCAAAATATTACTTAGCTTGTTCATAAAAATACTTTCAAAAATCATTTGTTGATGTCGAAGCAAATGAAATCGTTTGTTTATATCGAACAATACGAATGATTGATAATAAGTACTCTGTCTGGTATTTGATGAAAATAAAAATAAAAAATTGATTTTCAAATGAAAGAAAATTATTTTGTAGTATTTTCTTTTTGTAATTGAAAACAAATTCTGTCTAAGTTAAAATTTGTCCAAAGTGTAATTGTTTCTGTAACAAATTTTCATATCTTTTAAGTTAACTGAGAAAATGAACCCATCTTTGCATCTTGCAAACATATCTCTCAAATAGATCATATATAATTACACAATAGATTACATAAAAAACAATCATATCCATATAAAACACGAGCAAATGAACTTTCAGGAAAATAGCTTCTATTATATTAGAATAAAATTAATGATATGCATAAAAATAGAAGTATTCATCGTCTAAACATAAATCAATCATTAAATTTAAAGAAATCTGGATAGAAAGATCTTCTTTTCTACAACCAATAAAAATCTTAGAGTTTCAAGAATGATATTTACTAAAAGTATCATTTTAAATAAAAAATTTTTATTGAAGCAATTAAAAATTTATTGTTTTACTAATGTATTTTATGCATATATCAATTGTTTATTTATTCTATAGATATGAGTATCATCTTCAACATGAAAGACAAAACAGATCTCAAGCTCAATTAAATTATCTAGATTGGAACAACACACGTAATGCTTTCAATTTTGGTCGAATTAGTCAACGAGGCATTCCACTCACATCAAGAACTAGATATCTAAGTCGATTCGATAAATTCGTTCGTGAAGAAGAAAACTTTCAACGTCTCAAATTTGAACGTCAAGATTTCTTGGAACGAATCCTTGTATATACTACTCCAGCTTCGCCTCAATTCATCGCTAATTTTCGAATACAAGCAGAAAATAATAAACGTTTGATTGATTTAACTATGAAACGAAAACAATACAAATGCATGATTTGCTTAGAAGAATTAAAATTGAATGATCTCTATGCAACATGGCCATGTCCTTCAACAACACCACATATATTCCATCATGAATGCATGTTAAATACATTACGAATGCAAAATACTTGTCCGATATGTCGACATCCTGTTTAAGCTGCTCAAATATAATATGACATACATATATTCACAAGTTTTTCTAAGTTAGTTTCATAATGTTTTGTTTTTCCGCATTTTACTTTTAGTTAAACTAATAAATAATCAAGAGAAACTTAAAAATAAATATTTCATATTTCATAATATCGTGTTTATTCATTACCCAAGCAGACAAACTTTTGAGAAAACGCGTTTAAGCGCACAGAAATTGGCCTAAAATCAGCAAAAAGTGGACGTTTTCGGATCACACTTGAGGTTCCCGACTGTGAGCCAAAAACGTCCATTTTT